CCCGCCCGGGGGGGGGGAGCCGCTCTGGGGGGGGAGAGAGGCGTCAGTGTGGGGTGGGGGGGTCTGCCCGGTGCCAGCCCTGCCCCAGCCCTGCCCCAGCCCTTCATCGTGGCCGCTGCCGGCAGAAAGTGAGGGGGCAAAAAAGCTCAAAGGAACAACGAAGGGACGGGTTCACCCTCTGCCCTCGTAATCTGGTGGGGAAAAGCCCCCGTCCTTTCCCGTTTTCTCTCTCTGTAGCCCAGGCGCAGGTGTGAACGGTGAGCTCTTGGCCAAAAGGAGCTGGTTTAGCCCCAAGACTGGGGTCCTCCTGCGTACCGAGGAGATGCCGGCTGCCCTCGTGCTGTCTGGGCTGCTGGGCCGGGGAAGTGGGGATGGGGTGGCACACTGCAGCACCAGGTGGTCTCGTCTCCTAGCGCAGGTCCTGCGAGGGTTTCCCGGTGCTACTGAAAGCCTCTTCATCTGCTTCGAGTCCCCGTCCCTGGGGATATTTAAAAGCCGGGCAGACGTGGTGCTTAGGGACAGGGTTTAGTGGTGGGATGGCAGGGGTAGGGGAATGGTTAGGCTTGATGATACTAAAGATCTTTTCCAACCTAAATGATTCTGTGAAAAGCGCAGGCAGTGTTTCCAAGTGTGCCTATATCCCCTTTCACAGAGCTGATCCTCCGAGGTGGGTGGCATCCCTCCAGGAACGTTGTTTTTCCCGGTGTTCAGCTGACGCTCAGCTCTGCGGTTGCGCTCTTGGCCGAGAATTCAGCTGTAAGTGTGACACGCAGGCACACACGCACCCTGATCCATCCCAAAGGACCTCCACAAAGCGCGTTCGTTCTTCCCCAAAAGGAACTGGAAGGCGCTGGAATGGTTTGCCCAGGGAAGGGGTCGAGTCCCCACCCCTGGGGATATTTAAAAGCCGGGCAGACGTGGTGCTTAGGGACAGGGTTTAGTGGTGGGATGGCAGGGGTAGGGGAATGGTTAGGCTTGATGATACTAAAGATCTTTTCCAACCTAAATGATTCTGTGAAAAGCGCAGGCAGTGTTTCCAAGTGTGCCTATATCCCCTTTCACAGAGCTGATCCTCCGAGGTGGGTGGCATCCCTCCAGGAACGTTGTTTTTCCCGGTGTTCAGCTGACGCTCAGCTCTGCGGTTGCGCTCTTGGCCGAGAATTCAGCTGTAAGTGTGACACGCAGGCACACACGCACCCTGATCCATCCCAAAGGACCTCCACAAAGCGCGTTCGCAGCCTGCAGGGCTCCACTCCAAAACTCGCTTTTTGACTGGCTTTTCCGAGTCAGTAGAAGTGAAATTTCTGGAGAGACTTGCCCAGAGGTGGGAAGGAGTTTGGCTGTGTTTGAACGAGAAGAGAAGTGCGGTGGGAGGAGGAAGGAAGGCTGATTAATCAGGGTAAGAGGAAGAGAGGAAAATCAAGCAGAGGTGTGGGTTGAGCTGGAAGAGGAATGCTGTAGAAACTTGAAAGATCACGAAGATTTAGGCTGGGGGTGGGTGAAAGTCATGGGCAAAAGCCCACTTGGACCCAGCCCATTTCTTTCAAATGTGCTTAAAGTATCTCGGCCCATGCTGACCCCTACACATGGTCTTCTCTTTTCTTTTTTTTTCTGGATTTGGAGCAAAGGAGGAGAGAAATTCTTTCTTTACTGAATAGCTTCCCAAATGCGTCACAGCTTACTGCCAAACCGCGTGGATGGCATTCTTAGCAGCACGCGACGTTCGCCTTCGCAACCCTCGGCGTGCAAACGCCAGGACTTTGGTTCCCTTCTCTTTGAAGTGGGGCTGTTGTCGACGCGAGGGGTGCTTCTGGTAACAGCAGAGTGCTGGGTTGCGTAGGTAGTATATCACCTTTCAACAGCAAATAGAGCGTGTTTTAAATAAATGGCCTGTCAACAGTAGAAAAATAAATAGAGGCCACGCAAAATAAAGTCAGACAAGAAAGTCTCTCGGAAATCCTAGGTAGGATAAACCTTCTCTTGTCAGAGATTGTTTTTGCAGCTTTAACCACCCCCTCTTGAGTGTCCTCCAGGACAAGCTCTGCAAGGTGCTAGAAGAGGAGATGATGTCGGAGGGGATGTGGTCTTCTTCCCCAGCCCCGGGCAGATCTGAGCCTTGCCCACCTCACGGCTGCCTGTCTCCAGCTGCACGAAGGTGGCATTGCGTCGCTTGCAGCCAGTTCAGGCTCGACATCCCAACCAGGAGAGCCAGAAATGATATTCTCATCAAACATTTGCATGTGCTAAACAGGAGAGCTTTAAAATCCATCTCCTGCTTGCTGCTGCTGATAGTTTTGCGAGGCATGTACTGTGTGCTGCAGCGTCGCAGCTCTTGCCTTGGGTTTTACTGTCCAGGTTCTGAGGGGGCTTTTTACTTTCCCCCGCTCACAGGACAAGTCAAGAAGGAGTAGAGTCTCTCCCGCCTGTTGCAATTTGACTTCTTGCGCTGGAAGGGGATGGTTATGGCCTTGCAGCCACCTGGCTGGCAGGGAGCAGCACAGCCATGAGGGTCAGCAGTGCCTGGGGCCTGTGGAGCAGAGCCTGATCTGCGCCTGGGGGCTGCCTGTGGTGTGCTTTGAGGTACAAATAAGGTGCCCAGCAAGTTTAGCAGCTATTGAGTGTCTCACAATATTTAATCAGCCATTTACGAGTCATCTTAAAATACATTAGCGTCTTCCTTGCAGCCTCATCCTTGTGTGACCATCTCCAGAAATCTCCTTTTCAGCTTGCCCTCTCTCTTTTTCTCCCCAGAGCCCCCCGTTCCCCCACCCAGGCTGTTTTTTTCACCTCTTCTGCTGGGGCAGCTGGGAGCATTGGTGGTTGCTGCCCTCAGTCTCTGCCTATGGAGCAGAGGATGTGAGGTCTCCTCAGCTGCCTCAGTGTGAGCCAACGCAGTTGATCCTGGAAGGCTGAATGGAGCCACTTGACTTTGCACTGGAGCGGATCGGGAGTGCTCCCATGCCAACTCTGTGCTGAGATCCTGTCCTCAGACAGAAGCTGAGCCCCAGCAAGACGGAGGTGAAGCTACCTGGGGAGCAAACAGAGAACAGCAGGCTGCGTGTGCCTGTGCTGGATCAGAGATGTCTTCCCTGCCTGTCTGGTCCTGTTACTGCTTTGGCTGCTGTGGGAGAGTTCAGGGTGCATGAGAGACAGCCCAGGCTACTGCAGGGACCCCCCCGCCATGAGGCAGCACCCCAGGTCTGGCACCAAGAGGGAGTTACTTTGACTCTCTCCATCTTCCCTGCCTTCCCATCTCACCCTTTCTTGAATGGAGCTGATGTTTTGCAGTGCAGGAATAGATCATCTAATGGGTCATGGGAGACGTGGGAGTCTTGTCCTAAAAAAAAAAAAAAAATAATCCAGCTAATGTTCAGGCTGAGCTGGACGTGATCCCCCATCCCACTGCAGCCCTCCCCTACTCAGATACCCCAAAGCCACAGCGTTTACCCCGCCTCTTCTTCCCCCAAGGTATCCGTTTTGCTGCTGCAAAAACCGAGTTTGCCTGCACTGATTGAACATCTTGATCTAGCCCTTGTCGGGAAGCTGCCTGTATAAGCAGAGCTCAGAGGGATGCCCGTAAAGGATTTATTTTCCCCGTGTGGGGAGCGCAATGCATCTTGCAGTTGCAGGGTCTCTGCCAGGCTTTGGCTTTTCCAGATTGCTCGGCACCCTGTGGTAGTGAGAGCACAGGGGATTCGAAAGAAGTTAAAAATGCCCATCTAACGCATCTTTGGGGTTGGCCACATGTGGTGGGATAAGGGTGTGTCACACAGAGCGCTGACCTGGTCTTTTTCTTTTTTTTTTTTTTTTAATCAGCATCTGAATCATCGTAAACAGGCTCATTTGGCAGCTTTTGCAGGCTGGCAGCACACAGCTTAACTCCTGACAAATTTCTCATCCTCACCCTCTGTGCTGTAGCTGGTTTAGGCAGTAGTTAGGAAGGCACCTGGCATTTTTAAGCCTTCTGTCCCCTAAAACTATGGGAAATGCTCCCAAGTCTGAAGCGTAAAGCTCTGTTCCCTCTGGTTCTCAACTCGGGATGTAGTATCTCTGATTTGTGTTACGTCTGCCATATTCTTCCCTGACTTTGTTCTGGGGCCGCATTTCTCCTTTCAGCTCATCTCCATCTGCAGGTTACGGGCCAGCTTCCACTCCGTGGTCTGGTTTTGCGGAGACTTTGTTCACAGCCTCCATGTACTGTCTCCAGGTGCAAAGAGCAGTGCGGCACCCTGGATATTTCAACAACTTCTCGGGTGGTGGTTGGTGTTTCAGACTATGGTGACCCCAGTAGCAGGATGCTCTGTTTGAATACGTAAAGCCTCTTGAAGCTGCAGCTCTACCACAAAAATATGTTTTGATTGTTTAGAATGAAAGAAAAGCCATTTGGTATTCTCTTAAAAATGAAAAAGAGATGACTTTTTCCTTAAATCCCACAGTTTCTGCCAGGTTATTTGTAGCTGATGAGTAGCAGGTGATACCCAGCTGCCGTGCACCCCAACTTCGGGTATGTCAGGACACCTGGGTGCTTGTCTTGAACTGCCCTTGCGTGAGGTGCTGCTCGACAGCGGCTGCCTTACAGCTTTGCAGGGCAACAGCTGCCCTGGCTAGGGGAAACTCTGGCATCGCCTCACTTTTGGTAGCGTAAAGGATAGATTAAAAAGTGCTTCGTGTTAGGTGGAAGCCACTCATTCTTCGTCTGCCCTTTTTTCAGTACCTGGAAGCAATTCTGACCCCAGTAAATTGTGATCCATGGCTACAGTGCTAATAGGCCGAAGATTTCCAAGGCTGAGCAGGGTGACTACATTTTCAACTACAGCCAAGTGCAAGGCCGAGAGTGGAGGCAGCAAAAGTAAGCCGGAAAAGGAAGAGAACCCAGAAATGGCCAACACCAGAAACGAATCTGCGGCTACAATCCAGTTGCTGAATCCCCTGGACTACAGAGTATTGTATAATCCATCTGCCTATGCCAAAAGCAAAGCTGCCTCCCCACAACACGCTGCTAGGAACAGTGGCCAGGCTCTCGGTGACACTTTCACCAGCCCTGGTGCTGCACAGCTTCAGCATACATTTGGTACCGCCTCTTCTCAAGCTTTGCCACCCCTCAAAAACGCCCTGCCAAAGCCCAAGTCCAAACTGCTCCTCGAGCAGACCATCTCGGCGCAGCTCTCTGCTGCACAAACTGAGGAGGAGGTAGAAAATATAAAAACAGAAACGTATGACTCCAAGGAGGACCCTCGCATGTTTCAGAAGGGGAGGCCTGAGTACAGATCTCTCAGTTATGACAAGTTTGAGCCGATAGAGACCCTTTCTTTAGAAGAAGGTGACTCGATTTTACAGAGCGTGGCCGTATGCAAGGGCAGCCTGAGCCCAGGAACTATCACAGATTATTTTTGCAAGCTGAGTCGTTTGCCAGCGGAACAACACGCAGCGTTGGTGTCCCAACCCAGGTTTAATACAATGTGTTGCTATGCTGTCAAAAACATCGAGTTGTTCAGTACTTCAGACCTCATCGATATTCTAAAGGCTTGCGTTCGTTTGGTTGTTCCACCCACCCACCCTCTGCTGAATGCATGCGAGAACGAATTCTGCCGGCGGGTGTGGGATATGAACCTGGACCAGGTGCTGCTGGTGGCCGATTGCTGGCGCTGCCTGGAGCGTAGCGTGCCTTCCTACCTGAGCATTTTGTTCAGCTATGCCAACATGCACTGGAAAGACCTCACTTTGCCCCAGTTTGTTCAGCTCGTTTATATTGTAGGTGAAGGCCGGAGGTCACCTGTGGACTTGACGCAGAAGGTGGAGAGCATGATTTTGAAGTACTTGAACTCCTTCACCTTGGAGGAGGTGGGTGCTATCTGCTTAGGGCTCTTCAAGTCCCTCAGTGGTATCTCTGACCACGTCATGAGAAAAATTGCAGACAGAGTCTCCCTGCAGATGGAAGACATGAGCACTTACGCTTTGGTGAATGTGCTTAAAATGCTCCGCTACGCTCGCATGGACCACCTACCCCTCTTGAAGGAACTTGGGAAGGTTATTCCTGCTCGGATTCCTACAGTAAACATCCAGGGCATCATGCACATCACTCTTACCTGTTCATCTCTACACTACTTTGACGAAGGCGTTATGGCTGCTGTAGCCA